TCTTCAGAAGGATTCAGGCCCACATGGGGTTGTAGAAGAGCCTACCTTAGCAAAATAATCTGCCTAGATGTCCCTCATACCCTGCTATTCAAGCAAAAGCTATATAGTTTTGACTTCCAAGCTTTACCAAAGAGTCCGAATCCCAAATGAGCTTGAATTTTGTCAGGTCTGAGTTGTTTATATTTAGAGTTGCCTAACCGTCGAAATAAGAAATAACACAGGCACTCCAGAAAGGGGTATGCTCTTTTGATCAGACTCTATCTTTGAAAAGTTTTCGAATCCACTGAACACAAATCTTAAGACAGTTTGATGCCAGCACCGTTAATTTTCGAAAAAATGGGTTATTTGCTTAAAGATTTTACAATTGTTATTGTTGAGTTACCATCGTTGGAGAAACTGGTTCGTATACTGGATAAAACTACTTTCGTATTTTCGGACTTGCTGAACACGAAGTCAGTTCGACGCCACTTACCATTTATTTTAGAAGCCCTGCAAAGCCTCAAAAATTGGGTTATGTGAGAATAACTTTAAGAATTGTAACGTGATGGAAGAAGCTGTTCCTAATATACCCTACCCATATATTTTCAGATACACTGAACACGAACCTGAAGACAGTTTGACACCAGCATTCGCCAGTTTCAAGAAAATGCCCACTAAATTCATACAAAGGGTGATTCACGAATGTAATCCAAGGGATTTAGAATGAAAGTTATCTTCCAAAGATTTATTTTGGTTTCTCTTTATATTTTTACCTCTAACATCACATTCTCTTTTCAATATTCAACTGTATACTGCCATTATATTCATATCCCGTTTACTTTGATACTTTTTTCTATTTCCTTCAAATCTAGTGAAATCGTCCACTTTGCTCTTCACTGTAGTCACCTGAATTATTGGTAAAGTAATGCACGTGAGAGTCCATAAAAGTGCAGTTTCAGGTTCATTAAACATCCAAATTCTCTGAAATTTATAACTGACTTTTGAGAATTTGCTGTCCGTTGAATATACCCTCTTTCAGTTTAGTATCATTGATTTCTGGACATTCATCGCATACTACCTATAACATTCACCTCTTTTGTCCAACGAATTGTTTCATTAGTTTAAGTTTTTTGTGTAGTAGAGGAAGAAGAACCTTGTATGGATCTAGCAAAAAGCTTGAGTAACGTTAAAATATACTGAATTTAGATCTCCTCGGTTGTCAAGCGTTTTGCTCATAATGGTTATTCCTATCTCTACTGTCCCATAAACTCGGAAAACAGATCCTTGGTAAATCCTGATTGCTGTTCCAAGTAATGATTTTGAAATTTTCACAAATTCGTCACTTTTCCTCAGAATATCTTATTTTTCCTACCTATTTTTCCATACCATCATGAATACATCTCTGCTTTGTTGAATGTGTTATTGGAGCTAAAGCATACTTATTATCACTATGTAGCAGAATTGCCTTCAAGCTACTCCGTTTCGAGGAGTCAATAAATAACATCCACTTGTCTTTATAAATGTCTTGTTGATTATACCTTTAATGTCAGCACAATACACTAACATACCCTTTTCATACGAAGAAAAATTCCAAATCCAAAATCTTGTTTCACGTGATCGATACATTGCTGGATTGGTTCCTTCAAATTGGATATTTTTCTTTCAGTTCTCTAGCTAGATATCAGCTCTGTTTTACCTTAATTCATTCTGATTAAACATTTCCGGATGTTTCTGTCTATCCCACGATATATATTCGTCTGTATTTTGAGTTAAGTTGTCAGTTAATATTAATCAGACGCGGTTATTTCTTTATGGCTCTGTTCTGTAATAGTTCAAAACATTGTCTTCATTTGTTTATAATGGTAGTCGACACATACAATTTTTGTACTATCCGTTTGCAGATCGTTTTCAAAGAATAATCTAGATAATATAATTTCTAAACACCCATTTTACATAATCAAATCCTAAACAAACATAAACCTCCAAGTCATAAATATTTTCATTCCACCCATGCAATTAGCATGTAAAAATGTAAACATGATTGTCTACAATGCATAGACCTATCTATCTTTTTTTTACGTCTGAAATCACATGTACTATTATCTTCGTCTGTTCTCGATAACGCATTGTTTAAAATTCCTCAAATAGCTCACATTCGATAATTGCAGTCAGGTATTTATTTAGATGACAAATGTTCCAAGCATTTGATAACCTGCCAGGTTCTTTCAAATTAAAACTACTGTTTCGCAAATGCTGTTGTTTCTAATCTGCGCTAAAGTAATGACTACTTTCCCGATAAATGTTTAAGCAACGTTAAATGGGAAGAGCAATCGGTAATAGGTGAATGAATTAATTTTATTAATAGAGAATAATACTCAAATTGTAGGTACATAGTATGCAGTTAAAATAATCATGTAAATAAATAGTAATATAAAATTAAAAATTTAAGATTTTTTCACAAGAATTCATTTCTTTAAAAAATAATAATTAGGCGAAGCATTCTGGAAATATAGATACAAATTTTGTTTTTTCTTATACACATTCAAATCATATACTCTATAGATGCGTAATACTGAGAAACAATTTTAAAGAACGATTCCTTAGGCTATTGAATATATCCAAAAAAACAGGGTTAAAAGGAACTATGACGGTTAAGCAATTTTATTGCATGAATTGTTCAAAGGGTAATTTTAGATGAAAAAACCGCGGAGTGCTATTAAATAAGAAGGTGGAAATTGGAGATAGGGGTGAAAATGCACCCCTTTCAGTTTTTTAATTGTAGCTCGAGAACGAAGCAAAATTTCGCTATAGTTTATAGGAAAAATTATTTAGAGAATTGAATTTCCCATGGAAATAACTTATTTAAAAAATTGAAAAGGAAAATTTTTTGCAAAAAAATCGTTAATAAACAATCTGAAAAAAAAAACAAAACATTCGATTTTCTGATTTTTGTTACATTTTTGCCTCTAGTTTTTTTGAGTAAAGGTAGGTATAGGCATTGCTTCATAGAAAAAAAAAATAGATAAAATTTTCTTCAAAACAAGAGGTTTGGACGAAAATTGACTGATATATGGCCGCTCAAACTTAGCAAATTTTTCGATTTTCGTCGCGTTTACTCTTATACGTTTTAATTCTAATTATTTGAAAAAAAAAGAAGGAAATAAGGCGTTCAAGGATTTTCATCACATGACTTGTTCGAAGGATCATTAAAAATGAAAAAAACGCGGGGTGCTATTAAATTAGAGGCTTTAAATTGAAGATGGGGGTGAAAATGCACTTTTGCAGTTTTTTAAATCTAGCATTAAAACGAAACAAAACTTCGGTATAGTTCATAGGAAAAATTTTGTGTAAAAAATGTAAATGGAAAATTTTATGCAAAAAATCGTGTTTATTAATATTTTAAATTTTTTTTAAAATCGTTAATAAACAATTTTAAAGAAAGAGAAAAATAAGATTTTTTGTTTTTTTTTACTGTTTCAATAAAATAATTTAGTAAAAACTTGAGAATTTGAGTACAAAAAAGTTTATTAATGATGTATATACAGTGTGTCTACGGATGGAGNGGGTGCTCATAAATTAAAAAAACACGAAAATACTCAAGAGAGAAGTACCATTATTTGTTATTTTACACAACATTTTTATAAAACAAATCTGTTTATAACCTCAAATAATGCACTAATACAAAAAATTAAAATTTCAATTCTGACTTTTACTCTATATGTATAGCTACTCCCCACCTCAAAAATTGAAATTTTGATTTTAAAATTTGTATTAGGACATTATTTGAGGTTATAAAGAGACAGTCTCATTTTTTCCAGGGGCAGAACTTTTTTGTAAAGAGTGACATTTTTCGATAAAATCAAAAATAAAAGAGTTTCTCCTCTTGTCGACTCCATCCGTAGACACACTGTATATACATCATTAATAAACTTTTTTGTACTCAAATTCTCAAGTTTTTACTAAATTATTTTATTGAAACAGTAAAAAAAAACAAAAAATCTTATTTTTCTCTTTCTTTAAAATTGTTTATTAACGATTTTAAAAAAAATTTAAAATATTAATAAACACGATTTTTTGCATAAAATTTTCCATTAACATTTTTTAAATAAGCACAAAATTTTTCCTATGAACTATACCGAAATTTTGTTTCGTTTTCGTGCTATATTCAAAAAACTGCCTTTTCACCCCTATCTTCAATTTCAACCCTCTAATTTAATAGCACTCCGCGGTTTTTCATTTTTAATGACCCTTCGAACAAGCCATATGATGAAAATCCTTGAACGTCTTATTTCCTTCCTTTTTTGCAAAAAATTAGAATTAAAACGTAGAAGGGTAAACGAGACAAAAATCGAAAATTTGGCTAAGTTTGAGCGGCCATATATCAGTCAATTTTCATCTAAAAATACTTTCTCTTGTTTTGAAGGAAATTTTGTTTACTTTTTTTTTATGAAGCATTGCTTATACCTATCTTTACTCAAAAAAAAACTAGAGGCAAAAAAGTTAAAAAAAACAGAAAATTGAATTTTTTGCTTTTTTCAAATTTTTTATTAACGATTTTTTTGCATAAAATTTTCCTTTTAAATTTTTTAAATAAGCTGCATGGGAAATTCAATTCTATAAATAATTTTTCCTATAAACAATAGTAAAATTTTGCTTCGTTTTCGAGCTACAATTAAAAAACTGAAAGGGGTGCAATTTCACCCCTATCTCCACGATTCATGTAACAAAATATCTTGAACGACATAGTTCCTTTTAAAATCCTATATTCAGTAGCCTACCTGTCCAAATTAGGGTGTAAACGTGTTACAGAGCTCTCAAACTGTTTCATTATTCTAAGCATATACCTAATAAACTTGTTTTTTTTTTCGTGTTCTCAAATATATGTAGTACAAATCTGCCACTGCAAAATTTTAGGTAAATCGCGACCATCATGACCAAAATCTTAATAGAGCTCCAATTCTCCACCAAGCCTTCCAAGTACATACTCTACAAATTTCTTCAAGTATTCTGTTTCATTTCAGAGAGTTCGCCGATGTCAGCTCGAAACTTCCCCCCCTCGTTCTGGAACAGCCAGCATTACAGCGGCGCCGCCGGCACCGGCCACCACGGCGCCTCCGCCGCCGACCTTTACTCCGAGCACTACCACCCCGGCGACGCCTGGTACCAGTACAGCCAGCACCACCGGGCAGTGCACGATTACCACCACCACAACATGGCGGCTCAATACGGGGGCCTCCTCTTGCCGGGTTCTAGGTTACACATGAGCTCCCACGCTCCCTGTAAGGCGATGGACTGGCAGCACCCCTCGATTGAGTCGCCGTACTCGTCATACCCCACCATGTCAGGTAAATAGACAGAAATAAAAAGTGTAGAAAAAAAATCGGTTATGTTGAAAATAGAGACAATGCTCAGTCAGCTTTTGAGAATTGTCGGTCAACTAAGAATGTTTGTTGAATATATCAAAATCTTCCTAAAAGGAACTAAAGTCATTTAAAAACCTTTGATGAATAGACATAAATGGAATATAGCAGAAAAACTTTGGAATGCTGAAAACAGGAACATTTCTCACTCAGCTTCAGTGATCAATACACGACTTAGAAGATAACTGAGAATGTTCATTTTTTGTAACAAGATCTTTTTAAAAACAATTGAAGTCTTTTGAAATCCTTGGACAGATAAATGGAAAAAAAAGAGTAGCAAAAAACATCCGTTGTACTGGAAGTAGAGATCAGCTCAATCAGCTTCAGAAAATTACCAATTAGCGTTCAAATTTAGAGATTAACTAAAAATATCTACAGTAGTTTTCAAAACAAAACCTTTTTAAAATTAACATCAATGTTATCCTTGTGTAGCAAAAAGTTTTAAATATGATGAAGAGAACTGCCGATAGCTTAACAATATACAACTCGAAGATTAACTGAGAATATCTATTACATTTACCAAAACTATTTTTAACATCCTTTGGACAGGTAAACAGACAGGAATCTAAAGTGTAGAAGAAATATTTCTGTCTGAAATTAGAGACAAGAAATTATTCTAATTTCAGACAGACGTCTATTGCAGAGAGCGTAGCAATGGAAAACTTAGAAGTGATCTGATCTGCATCTACCAAAACTGTTTTGAAATTTTTTTAGAGAAAATAGACAGAAAAAGATACATATCATTTTCTAAAAATAGAGCTTCTATGGTTAAATATAACAAAACTTTTTAAAATAAACTAAAATTCTTTGAGATCCTTGGACGGCTAGATAGAAATGGAAACTGTAGCGAAAAACTTCGATTATACTAAAACTAGAGTCAATTTTCAGTCAGCTTCAGAGAACTGCCTATAGCGTAACAATAGAAAACTGAAGTGTTATCTGATCTGCATCTACCAAAACTGTTTTAAAAATCCAGGGAAAAACAAGTTAGGTTATATTAAAAATATAGAAATTTCACAGTCAGCTTTAGAGAATTAATGGATAAACTGACGGTTACTGATAATGTCTACTGCATAAGTCAAAAACATTTTAAAATAAATTAAAGTTCCTTAAAATCCTTGGATGTATAGATAAAAATGGAAAGTATAGCAAAAAACTTCTTTTATGCTGAGAATATTTGACATTTGTCACTCAGCTTCAGACAGCTATCTTGGAAATAATACTAACTGATAATATCTCTACTGAATCTATCAAAACCTTTTTTAAAACCCTTATATTGCTTGGGGTGATGAAGAGCAAAAAATTTAAAGCAGAAAACTTCGATTATACTCAAAACGGAGACAATCTTCAATCAGTTAGAAAAGTACCGGTTAGCGCAATAATATCTAACTTAGATATTAAAATTAACATCCTTTTTATGAATGAAAAAAAATCGAACGTTAGTAAAAAAAACTTTGATTGTGCTGAGAATAGATACATTTTCACCCGGTTTCAGAGAACTGCCGATATTGTAACAATATAAAACTATAAACGTCTATTGCATCTACCAAAACTAGTTTTTTGGGCAGATATATACACAAAAGTAACTGTAGCAAATAACTTCGGTTATGATGGAATTTCAGTAATTTCTCAATCAGCTTCAGAAACCTGCAGATAGCATAACAACAGAAAATATAAAGGTGAACTCAGAAAGTGTCTTGAATCTATCAAAACAGTTTTTAAAATTCTTGGAGCAGGTAAATCTCAGAAATCGAAAGTGTAGCAAAAAACTGCGGTTATGTTAAAAATCTCTTTCGAAGATTGCTTCAGAAAATTGTCGGTTAACGTAACAATATAAATCTGAGAGGTTAACTAGTGTGTCCACTGCATCTGTCAAAATCTTTATAAAATAAATAAAATCCTTGGGTAGTTAAACAAATACAAATTGGAGAAGTGTAGCAAAAAATCTTGCTAAGTAACTGTATAGAGTTGTCCAATTTAAGCCGATCTTCAAAATATTATAGATAGTGCATAAAAATTTGTTTACATCACAGATGTAATAAGCACTTATTGCCCTTGATACATAATTAGTAACAGCTACGATTTGGTGTTAATGTGTGATTACGATATGTACAAGTTTTTTGGCATTAAGTGTAACGTTATTGCCTTTAAATGATACACTTGTAACTGTTTCTGATAACTTTGTATCTGTCTAAATAGTAATAGTTTAAAAACATTTTGCTTCTCTATTAAGCTATATGTTGTTTTGAATACAACAGTTGCGGCTTACTTCTTGAACCAGTGTGAACACAATTTTGAATTTTAGCTACAAACTATTAACTGACTGTCTTTGTCCATCTGTCTCTAGATTGAACAAAAATATTCTGGCACCATTTAAAATTTGTTACATTTTCCATAATTTATAATCGTCGCAACAGACAGACGTTTCTTTCTGACACAACTATATCTCTTCTACATGTGTAGCTGATATGGTTATTCTCTTGGTTTGATAGTAGTGGTGACACTTGGTTAATATTTAACTGTCTGCGTGAGAAATAGGTACACCTCGTTTGTTCTATCCAATCTAAAGATTACATAGAGGTCAACATACACATAATACCGCATAACTGATATATTCCTTGCACTTTCATTTTAAATTGCATAGAGAGACAGTGATAAACGGCTACTTTGTTGGATAAATAACTATCAATTCACTTCTGATAATATATTGCAAATAGTAAGGTCATGCGTGCTCAAATCTCGTACGTTTAAAAAGTAGGAATGTGGTTGTGCAGGTCAGGTGCTTCCGGCTGGGAATATTGCAATTTTATCGGTAAACAATCGCAAATACCTCGAAATAATAAATAGAGTGTGTTGGAAATGGGTAATGGGGAAGTAATCCTAATACGTCAAAACGTTTCTGCACGGTTTCAAACAAAGTAGCAAAGTTATGCTTTGTGGACTTCAGTCCTAGAGTATGTAGTTAGAATGACATTTTTATTTATTAAATACTTTCCATTTTGTAATTCAAACTATAGACTGGAATAGGGGAATATTTGTGATTGGTTAATAAGTCTGTTTTCATTATTTCTTTGTTAGGGTGATAGATACCCTTATTCTTTGGAGAGCTTTCACTTGCTGCTTAGACTTGGTCATAACTTCTGGGGATTATTCTTTGGGTTTGAATTTAAAAAATACAATCCATCAAGATTCTTTTACATTATCAAACATTTTCTTAGATATTTAGTCAATTGTGTTTATTTAAAATTCAGCATTCTCTATCTTAAAAACAAATGGTTTTAGACTTTTGTTCATTAAAACTTTATGGTTAAAACGATAATATTAATAATCTCCCGAAGGTAGACATGTAGTTTTGTAGTATAAAATCCACCTTTGGTGTTATGTTTGTATAAGCGGCTAAATGTATGTCAGTATGTTAAAATAACAACTGGTATGTTTACCAACTTTAATCCTTTCAGTTTGTGATTAATCTAGTGATTCTAGTTAAATCATATAAATACACTTTGCTAAAGGGTTTAGTTTAGTCCACTCATATTCTTATTCAGTGATTCTAATATGTTATTGTTATAGAATTGTGACAATTATTTTTGTTACAGTTTTATTTAATTACTGTGTATTTCTGTCATTAGCACCAGAAATACTAAATTAATAACTGGAAAATGTCTCATTTTGCAAATAAAATGGAAAAGACTTTTTGTGTTTGAAATACAGTTGGGAAACAAATACCTACACTAATCCAATGGTCAGGGTTTTTTTTGTGGTTATGTTCCCCAATATCTCCATCACTGTTTACCCTAAGAAATATTTACACAGCATATATTATATATTTTTTATACATTTTAACAATATTTTGCTATTGAAATACTTGCTACTTTTATTTTTACATAAGAAAGCGGTGGGTTCGAACAAATTCATTTAAAATTCAGGGTTTTTTTTTTGGAAAAACGCTGGAACACGTCGATTTTTATTTTTGGCTGCGGGTTTTCTGATGGTAAATTCATGTATACCAAAATGTAGCCCAAAAATAAGTTACAACAATCAACTTTAATTTTTCAAATGGAAATAACTATTTTTTATTTAATTTTTTTTAATTCTACACCGAATTCTAAATATGTACAATGTCCTATATCTAAACTCAACAGTTATCGAGACAGTTACGATTTATTTATTTATTTATTTATTTATTAATAAAACAAATCAAATTAAATGTTGAAATTGTTGATTACACAGGAAAAGAAAAAACATAGCAAGAAATATTGACCCCATTATCAGTTTGCATCAATGTAATAATTTTAACAATATTTTTGAATTAATATTTCAAGATAATCATAAGTATTCAGCTCAATTGTTGAGTAGTGTATTATCGACTTGATTTCTGAGGTTTTTTTTTTGTAAATCGAGCAAAACATTTCTGGTAATTTTGATTGTTGACTTGTCACCGTTTAGTCACATGGAAACTTATAACAATTTGACTTAAAATAAGTAATTGTAAAGTGCAGTTGTAAAGTTTGAAAGAACAGGACTTGAACACAAGTGAAGTTTTCGAATTGTTTAATGATAAATACCCTGAGAGGCCTACAAGATCGGTAGTTACTATGATGGATAGTTTAGAGTGGCCACGTAAGAGACAGTTACAAAACCAACCGTCTTACGTTTCCACAAAACACACAATTGAATATTTTGCTCGATTTACAAGAAAATCCTCTTAAATCAACTCGATAAATAGCTGCAGAACAGTCAAAATGTAAATCTTCCGTTCTAAAATGTTTCCAGAAGAACAAATGACACCCATACAAACTTATTGAAGATGATCGCGACTGCAGAATAGAATTTTGCGAAGTAATGATGGATAGATGCAATGTTAACCCGCAATTTTTAAACAAAACGGTTTTTTCTGGCAAGACAACATTTTGTTTGAATGGTAC